ACGAATAAGAACCTATTTTTCAATAACTCGAAAAGTATTGACATAGTGAAAAACCTCTATAAAACCAAAGTTGCTTAGAATTACTGATTTTAGGCACTTCCGAACTTATCTTGAACATATATTTTTTCACTCCCGATAAGGGGTGATACCATGGACGTATAGTGATAAAGATGTTTCAGAATGTCGTGGACCTCGTAAATACGCATGCCCGAAAAAATAAATGGATCCTAAAAACATGCACCATTTTAATTTCATAAGAAATTGGGCGACAGGGTAGGATTTGCACGTGCTAATAATGTCGAGTATTTCCAATAAACATGACATATTAAGTTTCTCTAATCTTAAACATTCCAGTTAGTCATCGCATTTTTATTTTAGCTATAAAAATTTACGACTTCCCATCTTCACAGCCGATAAGAATTGCTGTGTAAACATGTAAAATATTTACATTGCACTAATTTGGCTTGTAAATAAACCTTTTACGAATTGAAAAAAAAATCTAGAGAACAAATAAATAAATAACAAATAAATGTATGATAGAAAAATAATAGGATTTTGGATTTAAATTCAGCAAAATATGTTTATATACGAGACGAAAACAACAAATTTCCTTGGGAAAAGTATTCGCATGAGATTTTTTGCCGCATGAAATTTTTTGCATAATCACTTTCATAAAAACTGCAGAATAATGTTCAAGATGTCGCCCATTAAGTGATCCTAATTTATTGAATAGTTTTGTATAAATTCATTTTTACATTGGGATAAGGGCCTCAAACAACTAAAAACAATGTTTTAAAATCAAATAAGCCCAAACTAAAGTATCAGGAACTGATAAAACAAGGTTTGGTGAATTCAAAAATAATTGTATTTTAGACTCAAAAATCATGATTTTTTGTTTTTGTTTTCAGTTTTAAATTGTTTAAGTTGAAATCGATCAACTTTAGAGAAAAATTACAATTAACCTTTTTTCTTGAGAATGATCCAAAATCTGTGTAATTAAATTGTCTGTGTATTTAAATTAAATGTACACTACCTTCAATAATGAAGGCTATATCTCTCTTCTTCTTTCTTCAGCGCGCTGGACTGAAAACTGGAATTTCGTTCTTGCACTTGGATGAAGGGTGATAAACTATTTACTTTTATGGGGTTATATGACACTCTCTAGATGGTACTGATAATATATACTCAATTTGACTGTGCAACCGGAATAGTCTCTAAGTATTTAAGAATATTAATGCGGCATCTACATAGAGACGGAGTGTTAGGTTACGCACGATAAGACACACACATACACGTTAATTAAAACTAAATAAGAAATGAAATAATTAATAAAATGTTAAAAGAACTAAAAAATATACATGGAGGGACGGAATACCGAGCTTGCCACCTTGATAAGTTTGTATTCATAGGTCATTGCTGTAGCCGTCGTCGTCGTCGCTATCAGAGAGTTCTGTTTCAGATGATTCGCTATCATCATCTAAATTTATAATGATCTCATGCGCTTCATCCAGAATGTATTCTCGGCTGAAGTACTCTTCTTCTACTTTATCAACATGCCTGCAAGTATTTGCCCATATTTCTGGCGTGATTTCATTTAGCCTAATTTTTGCTAGTTCTAAAACATCTGCTAATTTAAAAGTCGTGTTTCTTGCTGCAACTTCATTTTTTAAAATGGCCCATATCTTTTAATTGGGTTAAGTTCCGGATGATATGGTGGTAAACGTAAAACCGAGTGGCCGTGCTGTGCTAATAATTGGTATACAGCATATACTGGGTTTTTAGGTTTAGCAATGAGTATCTTACTGTCGAGCTTGTTTTGTTTCGCTTTCATCGAAAAATATATTTCTTTTTGTCAACCATTTTTTTATGATTTTTTTTTTCGAAGCCGATGTATAAGATTTTTCAAGAGTCACATTATGATATGAGGCGTTGTCTATTACTAAAACTGACTTGGAAGGTAAATTGGGAAGAAGTTTGTCTTTCAACCACTTCATATAATTCTGGTGATTCATTTCATCATGATAATCACCAGTTTTTTGTCCGGATTTGAAAATAAAAGCGGCATTTTCGACAAATCCATTTTTACCACCACAATGTAAGATGATCAGTCGTTGCCCTTTAGATACCGGAGATGTTATGTACTTGTTTCGTCCATCATCCCAACCTTTTGGAACTGTGTGGGAACTATGTATATAAGTTTCGTCACTATATACAATATTTCTATCTAAAAAAATTGTGAATTACTTTAAAATTAGTTATAATGTAAATAAATAAATATCTTACTTTCAGATTTGTATTTTTTCAGTTTTCTTAGAAATTCTGTTTATTTAGCTCTTATGTCAGTTTTTTCAATTAAAATTTTTCTATTGTCTTCCACTTTTCTCCACCTAAATCCTAATTTTTCACAATTTTTCTGAAAGAAGATAGTTTACCAGTTACAATTCCTTCGTTTCTAACAGATTCGTAAACAGTTTTCATGGTAGGTCTTCTTTTGTAGATGGTAGCAAACGTGTAAATGGTATTTCTTATGACGTGTTCCTCAAATGGATTGACTGATGACTTGGGGCTGGGCTTGCAAATACTTGTTCTGGGTGATACAAATTGTGAAGTTGCTGGTTTGTTTTTACCTTCCTTAATTATCCTTTTTACCGTACTTTCTGAGGTACCAGTTGCTTGAGCCACTCGCACTATTAGGGGTAAAGGAGTTGTGCAATATCCCAAATCTTTTTCCCGTTTCATAAATGAATAAACGTTAAAAATAATTTGCCTCCCATTAATTTGTCATAAGTGTACAAAACACATAAATTATTTTAAAATAAACATAATTTAACTTACATTTTTAGGATCTCACTGTAAAATGTTAAAAACGACTTGAAACGCTCTGAACATAAATAGTATCTCACTATAAAATATTAAAAACGATTGATCACAAAAATACAAAAATATTAAAGCTATTTCACTAACGCAAAAAACTAGTTCGTCTCTGTCTCGCTAAGATAACGCACCGAAGAGAATTCAATGTTTTTAGCAATGCCTGATTTCGTTGTTTCATCCGTAGATCGACGTCACTAAATAATGACGTCAGGTCCACGACATTCTGAATTATCTTTACTAATCCTTAGGGCAAAAGCATAATTTTTTTTCCTTTGACATCTTAGCTAGGCGTAAGCCAAATTTCATGTCAATCCAAGCGATTCTTTACTTATGAGGTTTTGCAATATTTTACCGTGAGTGAATGGACTAAATCTGGAAATAAATTCTGTATATTAGCTTGAGTTATATTGAAAATTCTGTATATTAGTTTGCATCAATTCTGGAAATTAATTTGTTTGAAAAGTTACAAAAAGGTATTTTCCATGAGATGTAATTTATCACTGCTAATTTTATTATGTATTTTATATTTTGTTATTTTTTTGTATTGTGTTGATAAATAAATAATTTTTAGAAAACCTTTACTGTTTTCATTAATCAATTTTTAGCGTTTTTTCTGAAGTAAAATCTTAATTTCCTAATATAGATTACAAGCACGTTGAAATTACTTGTGAAAATGCTGAATGCCATCCTTATATCGTCCTCTAATGCACTAATGCACTAGAGAATTGCCGGACCAGGGAACTGAAATTTATTTTTCAATATTGGCAAAGATTTCAATGAATGTCGCCACCATACAGTCAGGTAGTACTTTGGCGTGAGGGGAAAAGAGTTGTAAGTGGGCGGAGTTTAACACTGAATTCGTTTTTACCTTAGAGTGAGGTATCTTGGTAGTGGTTTATAATCAATGACTTCGTGTATCATACGCGTGGAAAAACAGGGACAAAATCGGTAAAGTCAAAATCGAGTAAAGTCAAAAGCTCAAAATAAAGTTAAAATTGGTAAAGATTTGGGTCCTAAGTATATTTGACAAGTAAATTACTATTTAAATGTTAAAGTACTTTTATTGACGTTTCAATTTCCACTTCGGAAATCGTTCTCAAAATACTTTCTGATTTCCGAAGTGGAAATTGAAACGTCAATAAACGTACTTTGACCTTTAATTGTGGCTTATTCCCATTTAAATAGTAATTAATTTAAAATGCCACAAGAAAATAGCTTCAGAACAATATTTGATAAGTAATCGCAAAAAGTTTCACCATAAAGAAATTAAATTTTTGACGATAATAGGATTGGTACTTTGAGAGGACTACGAAAATGTAGCTATCCTCTAAGTACCTATCATTCCGGCGAGTAAACTAGCGGACCTGTACCTTAGCAAGAAGTTGCACTTCATAACCAACCAACACTAAAGTATCAAATCAATTGACGATAACATTTCAAACTACCAACATAAACTGAAAAAATTTTTTTCGAAAAGATTCTCTAAGAACAAGGGTTTTTTAAACACTTACACGTATTCGAAGCGATAAAAATCTCTCTAGACATAGTATTGAAAATACAGGTCAGTAACAGAAAAATTTAGCATGTATAATATGAGATTCTCTGCAAACTGCAATACATTTTAGTTTAATAGAATGAATGTTCTTATCATTTACTTTCTAATCTACTTCTTTTTTTTTATTGATAAAAGACGCTTCCAGTCTTATATACTTTTAATTAATATGAGGTTGAATGCTCGAATAAATGAACTTTGAAAATTAAGGCAAATATCGAGCAAAGGGGCATGGAATGGAATGGATTCTCTCTCCTGTTACCGACAAAGAATGTAGAGCGTAGAACTATTTTAATTAATTTTAACTGTTTGTCCTTATTTTAGTGTAGTGTTTTGTACAATTTTATGTTAACATTCATGTTTATCACATTCTACGCTTGCTGGATAGCCCATATTTGACGAAATGCCCCTGAAGATGCTATATTAAGCGAAAGTACTTGGGCAAGATTTGATTAAACTTGTGCTCTATATTTGCCTTAATTTTCAAAGTTTATATACTTTTAATCACCATTACAATTTTTTCCAATTTTATATATTTTAAATTTTTTGATAGGTTAATTTAATTTAATTTTAGGTTTGTCAGCAGTAACGGAACAGGATTTACTATTAGACGTTATGTATTCATTCCAAGGTATCGAAGGAAAGTTTCTTAGAAAAGAACCGGGTGGTATGGGTTTCACAATAGATCCTAAGGCCTGTAAACATCTAACACCATTTCAAAAAGGAATTCTCGAACGGTTAACGGGAACGAGCTTCCTTCATAACCAGTTAAAAAGGTATTGTGAAGAGAATGAAAAACAAAGAGGAATCATTTCTCAAGCGTTGATAGCAACCCTAAGCGATGAATTATCTGAATATTATAAAACTGTTGCTTTATTACAAGCTGGTGTAAGTAAACTTGTAAATTGTAGATAGATACATAGATAGATATAATTTACACGTCTAGAAATTTATACAATGTATACAACATTAAAGTCTGTCTCAATGTTTATAGTCTTGAATTTTACCTGATTATTGTCTTATCTTCATCTAGGTATTTTATGACAGGGCATCAGAGGCGGACTCCAAGTAAAAATAATAATATAGCAATTTCGTTTCGAGGCATCTATTTTATTGTAAAGAAAATTACATTTATTTAATAATATTTTAAAACTTATATTCAATACTGAGTTATAACAATAAGATATTTAAACTACACTGTAAAATTTAAAAATTAATGATTATTAAATATCTATGTTGTTAATTCTAATACTTATATTATTTATATTCGAAACATAACAATACGAGATTTAAACTAAATTAATATTGATTATTATTCTGTTGTTATTCTAAGATCAATTCTGTTTCACTGTCGGAGTCATAATTTAGATTAATCACAATGGGTTGTATATTAAATCTTTGCTTAGACAAATAAGAATGTTCAACTTTTACAATATGCTGTACTGAATTTTTCCAGCTTTCAACCGATATATTATTTATAACAGTTTTAATCAACTCTATGACAGTCGCACTCAGGGTAGGAGAGACATTTTCCGCTCTTACCTTTGCTTTTACTTGGTGCCACATATGTTCAATGGGGTTGAATGCACAATGGTATGGAGGAAGACGTAACACAGTGTGTCCCATCTGTTCTGCTAAGTTGTCACATACATATTGCTTTTTAATAGCAAAAGTATTTAACACTTCCAGTAGTTGCTCTTTCTTGTAACTAAATTCAAAATAAATATCGTTAATAAATCGTAAATATCACGTTATATATTTTCTACGCATTAACAATAACACTATCAATCATATTCATAAAAAGGAGCCACCACTATTTCTTTCCTTTTACCTTTATTCTGTAATTTGATATGCCGTTATCATGCAAATCAACACCACCTATATGTTGATTTTACTCAGCTATCAATTTTGGCTAAGGAATTAGTTGGATTTTGTTTTCTTTCCTGTCAATATCTTTTTGCACCTGCAAGAGGTTCAATGCTACTACATAATTGTCATTCCATCTAACTAACAATACACTTTGTTCATAATTGTAAGAAAAATCGTAAGTACCACGATCTTGTTTTTTAATATTTTTTACACTTTCCATTGTATCATATGTATAAGTTATCAAAAAATATGCGATGATTAGATTTTCGTTCAATCACTGAAAACAAATCCAGCACAACGTTTTCTCCTAGACCCAACTCGTTTTCATAAGCACTTGTTTTTCCACCATAAGGTACAATTTTAAATAAATAGCCATTTGAACTACATAGACACCATAGTTTGAACCCAAACCTATTTGGTTTTCCTTTTATGTACATCTTACAACTATGTCTTCCAAAATATTGCACATCACATCTATGGATAGATTATGAGAAAATACTCTAAACTGCATGTTCTTTTCATTTATCCAATCAAATTAGAATTATTGTCAAAAAAAAATGCAAAATCTAAATTTTATTATCTAAATCCGTTAGTCTGCCGAGTTAGCGGCGCCTATTACAGGAAATCCCAACGTCCCGTAAACGCAACATTATTGAAATCGATTAGGCATGCAAAAAACAAAAAAGATTTTAGAAATACGACACACTGTCTTTTCTACTGATAGATATATGAATATAAATTGATAATTTCAGAAATATAATTTTATGTTTAGTACGCAAATTATATCGACAAAAATATGAAAAAAATTTTTTCGATTTTTTCAATTTTGACTAAATTAAAAATATATACCTTTTCAATTATTTCTAAATATTTTATTAGATTCGTATTTTATGTACTGTTTTAATTAAAATGTAACAATAAAAATTATATTTAAGCAGTGATACAAAAAAAAATACAATTAAAAATGTTGCCTTTACGCTACGTTGGGAACTAATGGGTTAATAATATATCGGTTGAAAGCTGGAAAAATTCAGTACAGCATATTGTAAAAGTTGAACATTCTTATTTGTCTACGCAAATTTTTAATATATAGCCCATTGTGATTAATCTAAATGATGACTCCGACAGTGAAACAGATTAATCTTAGAATAATAACACAGAATAATAATCATTATTAATTAAGTTTAAATCTCGTATTGTTATGTTTCGAATATAAATAATATAAGTATTAGAATAACAACATAGATATTTAATAATCATTAATTTTTAACTTCTACAGTGTAGTTTAAATATCTTATTGTTATCACTCAGTATTGAATATAAGTTTTATAATACTAGTAAATAAATGTAATTTTCTTTCAATTTCTTCTTTTTAATTTTCTTTCAATAAAATGTCTCGAAAATAAATTGCTATATTATTATTTTTACTTGGAGTCCGCCTCTGACGCCCTGTCATAAAATACCTAGATGGAGATAAGACATTAATGAGGTAAAATTCAAGACGATAAACATTGAGATATACTTTACACAAATTTATCTGACTAGTCAAAAGAAAGTATTATATGTTATTCAGATGTATATAGACATTAAAAATTACATTAAAAAAACATAAGATATACATTAAAAATTTAACAATTCTTCAATTGACCATCATAAGCGTCGTTTGTTCGCTGATTGGGCTCTAGACAAACTCGAAAATAATGAAGCTCATTTTTGGTTAAACTGCTTTGTGAATAAGCAAAATTGTAGTGTTTGGAGTGAAAATAATCCTCATGAGAGTCTTGAGAAGTTTTTTCTTGTCCGGAAAATTTCAAAGTCTACGTGTGTGTCTCAAAGTGTGTGTCTACGTGTTACTAAGTGTTTGTGTAGTATAAGTGTCCAACGTAAATATGGACACTGTATGATCCAGAGAAGCTCTGGCTTCCAAATAATGAATATTCTGCTAACTATGGTTGTAACAGATATATATTTGAATATCGTTATTGAATCAAATAAGTAGTAGTACGAATTTTTTACAATTTGTTCATTATTTTTCACAGATAAGCAAATAAGCAACTTTCGAAAACTCTGAAATGACTTTTAAAAAGAGTTTTGTCCGTAATGCCAATATCAACCTTTTACTTTTGTAAAAACGTTATATGATGTGTTCAGTAGTGAGATTCTCTTGTAATTTGTTCACATTAGCTTATGCCCCTTTTTGTGCATGGGAACAATGATCCCTTCACTACAATCCCTTGACATTGTCTCTGTTACCCATACCTCTTATCTCTGTCTCCGATATCATTTAGTACCTCACTGAAATACTCTGTCCATCCTTCAGTGATACCTGTTTTAGCTCCAATGAGGTTTATTTGTCTCTTTGCTTAAAATTGTATTTGATTGTAAGCATTTCTTTTCGTTCTTTATCTGATTATAGAAGTCTATTACTTGATTTCCTTCTCATAGTTCTTCCATGTCTTCAATATTTTTCTTCTAAAAAGCTGCCATGCTTGATTCTTTGTGTCGATTATTTTTGTGCTTTCTTCATCATATAAGTTTTATCTCTTTCCTCTAATAACTGTACCTCTTACTTAGCTTGCAGCCCATTTCACTCATTGCTTTATTCTTTCCCAAAAAAATTCCACTTTTATGCCGTTATCATTTTCCTTTTGATAAAAAAATTCTCTGAAAATTCTTTCTGATTTTGATGTCTTATCTAGTTACTATGAAGTTAGATCCAAAACTTTGTCAAATATGTTATTTATCGAGAATACTCAAAAAAATATTTTGAATATCGTTATTGAATCAAATAAACAGTACGAATTTTTTACAATATGTTTATTATTTTTTCACAGATAAGCAAACAAGCAACTTGCGAAAACTCTGAAATGACTCTAAAAAGAGCTATGTACGTAATGTATGATTCTCGTACAAAGTTTGAATGGTTGGCCTACATATCAGAACAATGCAGCGATAAGAAAGGTGGTGCTCTTATAACAGCTATCCATGGTTTCCTTCAACATGGTTCAAAATGCGCTAGGGAGGTAAGCTACTGTTTTTGCGCATGATTATTAAATTGTTCCTGCTTTAGTATCGACGCTAGAATTAAATTTGTAATATTTAGTTAATCTTTAGTACTCTTTCAGACGAAGCGACTGATATTGGACACCGGTGTCCGCCACCGGTGGTTAATCACCCGCGCAAACGAAACACCGATGTCTGACATCGATTATAACAACATCGGTTTAAAAATGAATCCCCGTAAAATAACATTAGCGACAAATGTATTGTTAATAATTGCAGGATGAGGAGACAAATAACGAAAAGGTAATATCAAAATTTGAAAAATATTTCTTAAATTTTGATATTACTCTTTCCCATGAATTTCTTTTAGCCAGTGGCGGCGCAAGATCATAATTTGATGTTGGCAATATACATTTTGCGACTTGCGAGGCCCTCTGTTCGCGCATAAAGACCTATTTTTTTAAATAAAAAACATGTGTCCTTTCATTATTAAACTTTTATTCATGCAAAATCTAGTCAAACTTACAACTAACCTGGAACAATTTAAGATGCCATTTTACATGCCACTTTCTACATTGCTGAATTGTTTAATTACGTAATCGTAATCTAGCTTAGATGCTACTTGTATAGCAGCCTATCTAGACAAAATTCAGCATGCGCGGAAACGGTTTGAGCAGTTTCGGTTAAAGCGGAGGTCGCTGATGCAGCGGTCGCCATATTACCCGCAGTTTTTTACAGTTATCGTGAGGGTTTAAGCTATTAAGGTGTCTTTCAATAACGGTGGCTTAACGAATAATTTTCGACTTTAAAGAGCGGATAGGAGCTATAGTTTTCACGTTTTAGAAAACTATTTTATGGCTTGGCTGAATATGATGTTGGGCTAGGGCTAAAGTAGTATACAAACATTCTATATATGTAAAACATTCCGATTCTACTACAGCTCTAGACCAATAGATTTCAAAAAAGAAAAACCATTGCTTCTATTTGCTCCTTAAAATCGAGAATTATTCGTGACGCTATCGAAATTAAAAAAGGCCCTAGCATTTTTCATATTTCTGAAGAACAAGATACTAGTACATTACAAGTTTTAATTCTGAGAAGCTCCTTTCAGAGGAGGCTGCACTAATTGGTATTGTTAATAACATTCTAATGACGATCTAAATGTTTGGGTATATTTCTTTTAAGTTATTATCTGTAATGTATTGAAACAACTGTTTACACAAACTGTACAAATTCTAAACTAAGCATTTCGTTTAATACAACAATCGGACTGCGCGTTCACATTTTCATACATGAACGTTTCAGTTTAGTGCGGTGAATATGTGTTCTCGCTTTTCCAAATATTTTCTTTTTTATTTGCATAATAATAGCATTTATCATTGTATTTATAAAAAAAATCTTTACCGTGCACGAGTTCAACTATTTTAACAAATCCATTTTAACTTATACTACCAAACTGTAATTATCAAACCAAAGAGTATTAAAAAAAGAAGAGGTATCACTTGCAAAAGTCCTAATTGTTTATCACTTCCGTGTTTAATTGCCACAAAGCAATAAAAACACATGCATAAATGACAAAATAGCCTCGAAAATTATTTTTTTAAATACTCAAAAAATAAAAATCAAACAAATACCTAAACACAATGAGGGGAAACCAACGAACTCCTAATTCACATTATCCGTATCAACAGGTTTCGACTCGTTTTGCAGCGGTCGCATCCGTAAAATATTATTTTCGAATATACTGAATGGAAACGTAAGGTGTCTGATACGATACGTCCCTGACAGTGTGAATTGTTCATATTTAAAACCATTTAAATTATATTTTTCGGTAACTAAACGCTACGGGCTGAAAACGCAACGTGAATGATAATATGCTACGACCTTAAAGGTAAATAGCGCAGCTTTCGTAAACAATTTTTGTATTTTGCCGCAAATGTAGTCAGTTTCTATAAAGCTGTTCAATAAATGAACTTTGCGCGATTTTTGTCATTTTTTTACGATTCTCGTGAGATCAATACAATTTATTTTTTCATTGGCCGGCCTTAGTGAAATTTCCATTGTTGGAGAGCAGTCTTCAAAACCTATAACATGAAAATTCGATTTTAATTTTTGGCAACCAATATGAGGCATATGAAATATGACTAAACCAAAGAATTTAAAATTTTGCATTACGAACAATCGCACGTCACAAGAACTATCTTCAAGAAGACGGTTATGGGTGTAATTTATAGCAGAAGTAAAATTTTTTTGAAAAACGCACTGATGTAATTAAAAAACAGCGTTTTTAAATGTTTAAGATCATGTGTATACTCCATTCCACGAATATACGACTGTTTTAAATTCGCTTTAAGGTGTCGATTTAAATGGTCCAATGTACTGAATTGTACAATAGTAAATTCTCCCATTTTTAAAATACTGTTACGACAGATATAAACCTTAGGTTTAAATATGAAGTCATGATATAAATATAAAGTTAATAGTTTATAGAACAATTGTAATTCAGATTTTGAAGTATATAATTACTATCATGGAGTTTAGTATTGTAAACAAGTTGGTTTTTGAATTATGTGGTTTAAACGAAATGTAACAATACGTAAGTGATCAAATAGTGTAATTTTTTTAGGCGAATATTCAATTAGTTTAAAAAAAATAAAAAAAACTTAATAAAGTCATAAAATTGGGTAATATAAAAGAAACCCGGTACGCCTCTTTAGTGTTTACATTTCACGGAAAGCTTACCCAAATCACACCCAAATGTCTGATGAACACATTTGACTTCATAGACGTCATTGTGTTTATTTGTAGATTTTAACTGAAATAATTTTAGTTTAGATGTCATACTAGTGGACCCTTTTTATTGGAATAATGATTGGAATAAATTACCTTCATACTTCTACTTGTACAGTAAAATATTCGTTGTCGCAGTAAACCAAAACAGTCGTATATTCGTGGAATAGCCTATAATGGGAAAGTTTAAATTCAGCGTTTTTTAAGCATATTTCAAATGCCTCATATTTGTTGCCAAAACTCAAAACTAAAATTTCATGCTATAGGTTTTAAAGATTAGCTTCTAGTTATAGAAACTTTATAGTGTCCGATCAATAAAAGGGCTAGATTGTATTGATCTCGTGAGAATCAAAAAAATTTCAAAAATCGCACCACATTTATTTATTAACACCTCTATAAAAACTGAGTTCATTTGCGGCAAAATACAAAAATTGATACGAAAGCTCTTTACCTTTAAAGTACATCTTGACTTTTGTCGATAGGACACTCATATCAAAAAATACTGAATTTTTACCGTCGAGCTTGTTATGAATATTTTGCCTACCACTAGGGTATTACTACAGGGGGTTAAAAATTGGGGGCAGAAGTTCGTATTGTGGAGATAGAGCAAGCAAAACAAATCGAAACGTTGGTGAACGGCGCCCAGGGTTTATTTGGAGAACTGGGTCGTGAATAAGTGAGTGAAACAATGGGATTGGATTGGGTCAACTACAAAAATGAAACAAAAGGGGTACTTACATGAATCAGCTGGAACAAACAAATACAAAAAGGTTAGGAACTTTTTAAAAATAAATAAACAAAATGCTTTAGGAAAAAAATTAAATATTTATTGTTGTCTCACCACAAACAGTTACAAATATAGATAATAACAATAAAATACAAAATATCAAAAACAGACTTACAATTGTTACTGGGTGATAATTTGTAGCAGAAATAAATTATTACAAATAAAAAATATCTTTTTTCGTGAAACTATGCAAAGAGGTTAACCTTTCTCTAAAAACAAAACAAAATCTTAAATATAATTAGATATTTACCAGATGTCAAAAATAGTGCTAACTGTCGTATGTCAATACTAACTCTTAAAACTGAGAACAAATAAAATGACAGCTAAGCCCCGCCCTAAGATCTACAATTTTAATTATTACAATGTCTTGTTATGAAAGCAATTATTACTAGAAAAAAGTCTATATTTATTTTAAAGTTCAAACAAAAAAAGTTACCTGGGTTTCACTAAAATTTCTGGGGTTGTAAACTGGACTTACTAAAATTTTTGGGGGTAGGAACTGGAGTTAGAATCTCTGTCACTCAAACAAAAAACTGCATCACACTGCGAATTGAATTCTGAAACGTCTTCTTAGGACATACAAATTTGAGTATAATACTTTTCAGAGTTGTTGTAAACTCCGTTTTACAAATATCTCAGGTGAGAGACGGCTTACAAATAAAAAACAGTAATTACTCGTTCAAAATTGACACATTACATTGAGTAAACTTTAATACGTACGATAGGAAACAAATACATCGAAAATATTCTTCAATTTTTTAACATATACGGAGGGATTTCAATATATACCAAAGAATTTAAAAATGCTTCAAGCTGATTCAAATTTTAATGAGCATTGATTTCGGGCGCGAACTCACATTTAAAATTTCTGATCGCTTCAATCGTTGTTTCTGAGAGGATGGTTCATTCTACGCAAAAAATGAAAAGTAACGTTTTTATTAAAAATTATCTAGTTACATTTTTTATTTCAAACATTTTTTTCTATGGCATACAGATTCTTGATAAATTGATTTTGTTCCGTTTTCTCCCCTCTACGTCGGTGGTTTTAGGGGAAAGCCCGGAGATAAAAGTGGTAAATTTTTATGCATCTTTTTTAACGTCCTAAAATTGACATTTTCAGCAAAATTCAGCTTGTTCATATGATTTTCAGGGGTTTAGTAACATTTTTGTCTCTGACGACTGGAATATAAAAACGTATTAACTAAATATAATACGTAGCTACATATTTGTAACTATTTATTATATGTGGTGAACAGCTTCAGAATGATATTTCGTTGTTTCATATTGATTTGATCATACTTAAATCAGTTTAAAGCTCAAGCCTCTTACTAAGGCAGTTTGATTTGCTCAAGCCTCTTACTAAGTTGTAAAATTGCAAGTTATTCCAGACCGTAGTTGAATATTGGTACTTGTTTGAAGAATCTGAAGTTCGGGTGATGTTAATAACGAAAAAATTTAATTAGTGATAAAATTATTTGCAAAGGAAGATTTAACATTGACTGAAATTAATTTGCAGCAATGTGTGTGGTGACGATCAATTTTCACCATGAAGCAATGCAAGCAGTTGTGAAGTTAAAACGTGGCCTTGGAATTGTACAAGATGATCCACGTTAAGCACGTCAAAAAACTGCAACCACCCTTGACCTATCGACAAAGTGCATGGTATATAAATATCGGCGTAAGGATAATCAAAGGAACGTGTTAATCACAGCTTGCACTAGAGTTGAATTTTTTTTTAACTTCTTTATTCGGAAATCTGTCCATGCATACAAGAAGCGTTTGTTCTGACATTATTAACTTGTACAGTGTACCCTATTGAGTATAATATAAATTTAGCTTAGCTGACATGTTTTATTAAAACTTAGTAATTTTTTATTTTATGTTTTATTTAATCTGACTCTGGTATTGCAGTAGTATGCGCTCATTTATTTACACATATTTGTAGGTTTCCGAAACAGTTTTAAAATCAGTTTGTAAACCATTGTATGTCATGTTGTCACGATGGCTGCTAGACGGGGAAATTAATGATCCTTATAATGAATTTTTCATAGAAGCTAAAACGATAAAAACTGCAGAACGGTTATGGCACGACAAATATAATGTACGGCAGTCTATGGTACCTTCTTTTATAACTATGAGCCAAGCCAAAAAGATTCTAGCTGCTGGAAAAAGTATAAATTTTTTGAGGCAGATATGCAAAGATGGTGGCCAATTGCCTGGAAGAGAATCTCTACAAAAATTATTTAAAAATAGCACAGGTAATATTAGTCAAATGTATTTACTGAAAATTTACAAGTTACTATTAGTGTTATATCGTAATCTGTACTCAAACTTCTTAGATGTAAATTGAGTTCATTTATGTTTCTTCTTTTTCTTCTTGAAATAGAATTATGTCTGTATTATGGACATAATTGCAATTTATACAAGTTTTTCCTATTACTGTTAGAATTGATGGATTCGACCGTTACTTGATGGAAATTCATTTTATGTAACAATAAAACACTGAAAACTTTGTTTTCAAACTTCCACAAAATTTGTTTTAACTATTATCACTACAGCTGTTTCGGCTGATTGCCTTTCTCAAGTGATCTATTTTTGGCATGCGTTTACAATTTATAGTCTCTAATGAAATATGTTGAGGAGGGGAGAACTGTTTGTCTCAAGTTGGTAGAACTGTTAGAATTGCTTTGTAGCAATTTAATTATTTGCCTATCACGTTGGGTGTCACTTGTAACAATATAGAATTACTTATAGGGGGTTGAAAGGGGAAACTAAACAATTACTGGGCTGGAGATAGGGTAATCAAATAAATTGAAACGTTTGCGAACGGCTACTCGTGTTTTGGTTGGAGAACTAGGTCGTGGATAAAGGTTTCTTTATTTGAGGGGCTGGAGAAACTAACTACAAAAAGGAAATAAAAAAATACAGAGATTTCCTGGGCAACAATACACAAGAAGATTCCTAAACAATTTAAAATGGACGGTGTTTAAAAAATCCTCTTGCTTGTTAGAAAGAAAGGCTTTTATATATCAATGAAACACTGAAAATTTTCTTTTTAACGCTTCCACAAAATTTATTATAAAATCTTATCATTAAAACAGACTTAAAAACAAACATGAGTTCTCCGTAGTTCATGAACCTACCCATTTCGACGATATTTGGAAAATATCGACAAATATCTGACAAATATTTGGAAAGTGAGGTCTAGGAAAGAAGAACATCTTGGTTAAAGAAACTCAGAATCTAGTCCAATACACCATCTGTGTAGCTTTTCCGCTCTGCTTCAGATAAGATAAAGGTTGCCATGATGATCGCCAACATTCGTAACGGCTAGGCACGTCAAGAAGAAGAAGAACCGATACTGACACGACTATACAGAATTTATCATCGCATCCTACACAACATAAACAGGCAGCCTTCTCATAGCATGTTACATAGATTAACAGAAATTCAGATGTCAAAATACAACTTTGAGACAGAATTAAATATCATTAAGCAAATAGCAGTAAATAATGGATACAACGAACAAATATTCTATAAAATTTTAAATCAAAAACTACACAAGAAATCCCTGAAATTAGTATTTCCACCACCAGAGAAAAACCCAGTACTTTCTGCTCGATTACATACATAGGCAAAATATCAACAAAAATAGTCAAACACATAAAAAAGAAAGGAATAACACCAGCTTTTAGAACAAACAACATCTCAGGGAAATATATTAAAAACAACAAGGGCCAAAATAAAAAGCACTTACACAGTGGTGTATACAAACCTAAATGTGGCGACTGTCCAAAAACTTACATTGGTAAAACTGGTAGAACTTTTAACCAACATATAGCAGAACATAAAAGGGCTTTCAATTATAGAAAAACATATTCTACATACGCACTTCACTTTCTAGACCATAATCATTCTTTTAACAAAGAATTTCATACACATTCAAAATAAAGGCCTTAAGCTATATTTATTAGAATCTATGGCAATTAACAAATTAAAAACCCAGACATAATTCTGAATGACCAACTTGAGACAAACAGTTCTCCCCTCCTCGACCTATTCATTTAAATAGCTATAAAGTATAAAAGTATACCAAAAATAGATCACTTGAGTGAGGCACTCTGCAAAACAACAACTTGACTTCCATCAAGTAACGGTCGAATCTATCACCTATTTAGAAAGGCTTTTCTTCCCTAAAACATTTTAAGGGTGAAAATCTTTTTAAAAGAAATAATTGGTTTAAAGAGAAACATTACAGATTTATTATTATATCACATAAAGTTATTACAAATAAAATTATCCAAATTTATCAATAAAACTTACATTGAGTTACATCTTATAACAAAACAGAATTTAAAATTATGGCGGTTATGTACCAAATGTCAGAAAAAGTATAATACGACTGTCATATGTCGAAATGAAATATCAAACTTTTCTCAATTATTAATTAATTATATATAAAGATCAACTTTATTTAAAAGAAAACTAAAATATGACAATTAGCTAATCCATAAAACATAATTTTATTTATTTATAATTGTTTAATTTGTCCTGAAAGCAAATCATAATCAAATTTGTCATGAAAATTTAACAAACCTTGGAATTGGATACAAATCAAACACACACTGCACCACACAACTTCAAATGATCTGGATTGTCCCATGGAAACACAAAATGAACACATCTTGGTCAAACATCAAATTGGACTTCTGGTTATCCTGATGATAAAAATATATATATATATATATATATATATATATATATATATATATATTATATATATATATATATATATATATATACATCCCGCCATCATTATAAACTCATTTCACGTTGCAGTAATTTAGCATCACCAAGAAAATCTATTATTTTGTATATATAAGTCGTGTATGTTCGTTTAGTGCACCTCTGTTGGCTTAGCAGCGTTGTCGGTTTTTCAATATTCTGATTTTTTTATATATTTAATTTTTTACATCAATCCTACGTTTTAACATCGATCATTTAAAATCACTGTATTTGCTATCATTTTAAAGCCAATAGATGTTGCCGGTATTAATACTTAAAATAATATCTAGGTACATAAATATCGATCCGTTTTCGGTCAACGTGCTAACGACCTGCTAACACGTTGCGGTCTTAACTGGTTTTTTCTTTGCCTAAATGTTAGGTATATTTATTTAAGGTAGATATTTTTCCCAGAGAATTGTGTAGGGGAATATTTTACATAAATTTCAATTTACAACCTGTTTAATCCAAGCTATCGGTGAATAGTTTGAGGTAAATATTATGTTTTTATGGGATTACGCCTCAATTATTGGCTGTAATTGTGATAAGAATCACATTTTTAATTAACTTGTGTTTGACATTTTGATTTCCATTCCGGAAATCGTTCTCAAAAACGTTTTTTTGTACAAAATGTGTATACACATTTTAGATAATTTGTACAATAAACAATAAATATTAGTTAATTAAAAATGTAATTAATATTACATTTTTATATACATAATATACATAAAAAAATAATATTTAACTTAACCATGCAACAAGAAAGTATTTCACAGAACCTCGGTAAATAGTTTTCAAAAATCTACGGTTATTTAAATTCTAAATAGTATGAGAGATAGTTGATGAAAATTCGTAAAGATGTACAGTTGATTATGCTTTGTTCTTTTTTTTAACAATCTTAAAAGATACAAAAAAAATGTTTGCTTGTAAAACGTTTTTTTTACATTCTAAAGAAAAATGATTAAAATAAAAGTTGTAGACCATAAAAGGTTTTTTATGTTGAGGGATACCAAATTAAAATATATAATTAATTGAGCAAGGTAATTGCAAAAAACCCTAAACTCTAAAATCTTATGTTTTTAGTAATTTATAAATGGTAATAATTGAATGTTTTGCCCAACGGCAGATAATATAGCTACTTCAAATTATCGCAATTAATGGGTTTTTAAGGTGTGCTAAATATTAAGCAAATCACTTTGAACTTGTCCAAATACTTGTCCAATACTTGTATGTACAAGTATTTTGTAATTTGCAATCTTAATGGCTTATAAGAAAACAAAGAGACAAAAACAGAACCATATTTAACCAATAAAAACTAAGATAAAATTTAATTCTTAAAATCATATTTTCATTGTTTATTAATACAAGATCTAAAAATTGAAAACATTTTGAATTAAGATCTATAATATATGATCGAAGTTATAGATGGCTTACACAGTAAAGGAGTAAAATGTTATAACCCATTAAAATAATGGTATTCGTAAATTACCGCCACGGAAAAGTACCACGGAGGTAAGAACTGACTGAGCTTGTTTTTTTTTAGATTCGGACTTTAAATTGAAGCACGCTTGCAAAATATTTAATATCTCGGCTTCTGTGGCACGTAGAACCTTCATTTCTTTACTAGGGTAGCTCAACCAAATAATAAGAATTGTGCTATTTTGACCTATCTTACTAAATTTTTCCGTTGAAAGTATGAACTCTTATAAAAGCGAGTTCGATTTACATAATACACGTGTGTATAGAGAGTACAGAGTGACTATCTGGTCAAGTACAGTCGTTTAGATAATCGCTCTTTGGGATAAACAAATTGGATAACTTTGTAATCTATGTGAAATATACCACACTTTAATAATTTATTCTTCTTCCCTTCTTCAGCCTTCATTTATCCAATGTTGGACATAGGCCTCCTCCAATTGCTTCCACGCTTCCCTATCTTTTGCAATTCTCATCCACTGCGTTCCAGCTACAGCAGTTATATCGTCTATCCATCTCTTTTTAGGTCTTCCCACGCTTCTTTTTGTTTCTCGAGGTCTCCAGAATGTCACTTTATGAGACCATCTGTTGGTGTCTTGTCTTGCTACATGTGCTACCCATTGCCATCTCAATGTCGCTATTTTTTCCGTGATGCCGGTTACTTTAGTTCTTTGACGTATTTCGGTGTTAGGAATTTTGTCTCTGAGGCTTATATTTAACATGGCCCTCTCCATGGCCCGTTGAGTTACTCTTAATTGTTCTGCCATTTTTCTTGTTATTGCCATAGTTTCCAATCCATAAGTTGCAACTGGTAGTATACAAGTGTCATAGGTTTTTCGTTTTAAGTGAATTGGGATGTTTCTGTCTTTTAAAATGAAGCTCAACTTACCAAAAGCAGCCCATGATATTTGTGTCCTTCTTTTAATTTCTAGGGTTTGATTTTCCTTTTCGTTTTTAATTGCATGTCCTAGATATAATATATTGTTCCACCTTTTCT